ATTGATTATGTTTTACCGGAGGTCCTTTTCTCAAGGGAGAATCACCACGAAGAGTGATATCTGATTATCGAGTTATTTGGATCCATTGATTTGTCTTCTTGTTTCTTGTTGGATTTGACTTTAGAAATTGAATTTTAATTAGTATAACTAAGATTAACCAGCTTCATTTTATCTTTAGATGCCTATCCTCTCATTTTTCTATGAACATGTGGTGTTCTTATTTGTTGTTGGAAGTTAGCAATCTTTCATTATTCTAGAAATACAACATGAGTCCTTAAAAGAAGACAAATGGAGCAGAGATGTCTAAAGAAGACAAATGGAGCAATGGACCAAAACTTAATCAATGTATTATCTACGTGAAAATGATGTAGTTTTAATTTTATACTTACTGTATCACGTCAGCAAATTGTTAACCTTTAGTTACCACATCTTAATTAAAACGAAACGAAAGTGACAAAATCTTATATTTTTTGAATTCAGTAAGTAAAATTTTGTAAAAGTCAAACAAAGGTGATTATTTCTGTAGTTACCCTTAGTTATATAATTAAGTGCACGCTAGAAAATTTTCATAGTTCAAGTTTTGTTGAGCGGATATAGAAGTGTTTAATTTGAATTTTAAATAATTGATTTTACAAGAGAGTTACATGTGCATACAATAATAGTGTAAAAGTATAAATAAATGTTGAGTATAAATATAATATACTATTTTCATACAATTCGAATTTGAATCATAAAATCGAGTTAGGTATGTCAAACACTGTTAGTACAAATTGTTGAAATTCTATAATTTAAGTCTGTAAGGTCAAGTTCGAATCCTACCACTGTCACTCTTGATGAACAATCTATAAATTCCTATTTTAATCCTTTAATTGGGTCTTAAATATACTTTAACTCTGTACTAGATGAATCACCCCGGATTTAATTTTTTTTATAAAAAGAATAAATAAAATTGAGTCAGGTACAAAATAAACCCTTAATGGGAGATATTAAAGTGGCGGTGTTTTGGTTCAGGTGTCAACAGAAGAATGTTGAAGAACGGAAGAATCCTGAGATTTCTTAGCACTGTATGGTCACAATATTTTATTGATATCAAAGCATTATTTAATATGGATTTGGAGGTTTGGTGAGGGAGGGTTGGATTCATCAACTTCTTCAGAATGGAAAATTTTACAAGTTCGATTAGACATTTTTTATTTGCAGTGTTTACTTATTAGGTACCAAAGATGATGCTACCAAACGTCACTAACCCATCCAATATACTACTTCCAAAACGTACTTTGTTCTCACGGATGCTACCATTAAATAATAATTTATCAAGCAATCATGTTTTTTTTTAGTGATTTTAGGTTTGGGTAAGTGCGTATGTAGGGTTTGTATTGTTAATTAGTCGATAAATTTTTTAATATGTATTACATTTTAATTACCTTAAACTATAAAAAATAATTAAATAGCAGAAACTCATTGAATGGTCTTAGAGGTAAAAGGAAGTGTTGTTCTCGTGAGAGATCTAAAGTTTAAATAATTATATATGTAGAATATGTATACGTTATCTATATTTTTTTAATCAATACTATCGTATAATTATTTTATACAATTAAAAACATTAAATATAGAAAAAAATTCAGAATTTTCAAGCGATGACATGGTAATTTACTCATTTAAAAATGATGGTTATATCAGAAACTTGAAAATTATTTAAGTGGTGAATTAAATGAATACGCTTTTTTGGAAATTTTGTACCGCTTAGCTCTTTATTGGACTATTTTAAAATTCTAGCGTTGTAAAAGCAATTAATTATATAGTTTACACTTTTATTTATAGTTTTGAAGGTCTTTAACTTTAGAAACTATAATAAATTTCACATTAAAAAGGACATAATAAATCAGTAATCAGTTGGTCTAGTGGGAATGAGACACTAAGTCCCTTAAATAAGGTCAAGAGTTCGAACCTTAGCGTTTGCGAATGGAGCAAATTAGGTTGAGAGGATCATCCTCGCCTCTCCAGTTCCGATCTGGATTAGTCAATCAATAAATCAAATACTAGTAATTAATTAAAAAAATACGATAATAAATTTAATAAAAAATATTATAAATGGGTTTAAAAATCTCTATTAGTATTAAATTTTTTAAAAATGTGATATTAAAATTCTTGATTGAATTCCTTCACAGATTAATTAGTGTCAATTCAGTCAAAAAAAATACTTTAATTTACGAGATAACACATATTATTATAATTTGTTTTATCGTTTTCATATAAAAATGAAATAAAATAATTAAATATAATTATTTAAAGATTAAACATAAGATTAACATATTTGTATATAAATCCTTTACAACTCCACTTATAATCACTTCATTAAATAAAATTTTACAAATATTTTTTTAATATAAAATATTTTATCTCACATTATAAATGTGAAATATATATGTATATTTCAATATACGTACACACAGCATCAAATTTATTTACTGTCTTAAATTAAAAAGATCATTTACAAATAATCTCTAATATCATAATGCTAACAGAAAAATATTTTGAAAAATAAAACATAATGTTACGAGACACTAAATCCCTTAAGCAATGTCAGGGGTTCGAATCTTGACAATTGTGAATGGAGCAGACTGAGTTAGGAGGGTCGCCCTCGCCTCCGCAGTACCTGATCCGAATTAGTCGACCAATAGATTAGAAATCGGTGGTTATACAAAAAAGGAATGATAATCCCATGTTCTCAATATTTTTGGTCTAATAACAATTTAGGTCATTATAAATTTAATTATTAGATAAATTAGACATTATTTTCTGAATTGTAAGTTTATATACATAATAAATCATTGTATTTTTCTTAAAAATTTAATATTTCGATCATTATCTATATCTAATTCTGGCTTCGCTCTTGTGTGTCATCTTCTTATTGAATGTATTAATTTATCAAAGAAATATGACATGTGATTATATTGATTTAGTTTTTAATGACACATGAGCATGTCACGTCAATTATCGTTAGTCGTTTAACAGTTCAATGATCTAAATGAAAGTTTTTTATTGCCATAACCAAAGTAAAAGCATCTTAAAAGTTCAATGACCACTAATGTAATTTATCGTAATAGTAATAATATAAAGGGTAAACAATGTCGATAATCTTCTATATTTTCGATCTGACCGACTTTGGTCACAGAAAAAAATTAAGGGGAAATGATCACTAACGCCATCGGTCCGTCCGATTTAAGTCCATTAACATTATCAGTCCGTCCGATTTCAGCCCCTAACGTTATCAACTCGTTCGATTTTAGTCCCTCAGTCATGTATATGACTTCAACAAAAGGGACTTAAAATAAAATCTGGTTAAACAAAATTAATAGCATAAAGACTTAAACTGGACAGATCGATAACGTAAGATAACATTAACAAAAGGTACTATCACCATAATTTTCCCCAATATAAATGAAGAAATGTAATTATAAAAGGGAAAGTGCGGTCGTCGTCAACGTACTTCACAAATTCAGCCTAACATGGTGCGCAGCCCACAATTACCGGCAGCTACTAATTAATTCATTCATTGTGCATCTTTTTGTAATTACTTAAAACCACCATGAATTCTAGGTTTATAAACAATTTAGTTTCTCTCAAATTAAACAAAGTAAAAACAAAAACAAAAAAATCGTTCACAGTTTTTGTTAATATATCACATGATATGTTGTCTATTTACGATTCGTTTGGTTTTATTGTTTTACAATTTTGAAGAAATTAGCGAATACTAATAAACACGAACCAACTTACATCACTAGTTAAAGGAATCGTTATTGTTCTTAGAGGTTACGGGTTCAAATATTAGCGGCTGTAACAGCGTGATTGAGCATTCATTTTCAAATGTTTGAAAGTATTTAGAACATATACTACTTTATAATAATATTAACTTACTTATTTCTCAAAAAATCAAAATATAATTTAGAAATATTGCATCAATTATTTAGTGTTGTCACATTCTTAAAGTCTCGGATTTAATACTTTCGTTAAACTAAAATAATATCATATCAATTAATCCAATATTTACTGATAAAATAAAATAAAAATTTAATATCTCTACTTGTAAATATTTCTTAAAAGTTAAAATAACATTAACGAAGAAAAAATAATACTTGTTCTAAAGAAAACATTGAGTATTAAAATATGATCTTCAAAATGTATGGAAAATGCTTAGAAAGAAATTAAGCAGATATGTCCGAGGAGAAGATATTCTAAAGAAATTTCTTAAACCTACAAGTAAAGAAGAAAGTATAAACTCTGTAGTTCTTTCTTTTTTGGTATATGGACTAAGCCTAAACATATAAAAGATATATGGATTGAATTTGATGTTATTTTTATTTGAGTAAATACATGTTTAATACTTAACTATTACTTTTGTCCTGTTTTTGTATCCAAATTTTATTATTTTTGAAATCATACATAATGTTTAGTTTGAGTTTTAATTTGATATCACACCCTTAAAAAATTAACAAAACTGTTGATGTGACATTTTTATTTTTTACAATGATGACGTGATATTATCTTATGGTAATACATCAATGTCATCCTTAAGTTTTTAATGGCGAGATACCAAAATAAAACCTAAACTAAACAATAAGTAAGGTTTTGAAACAAAATAAAGTTTGGATACTAAAATAAAACAAAAGTAGTAGTTTAGACACTAAATGTGTAGTTTACCCTTATAAGCAAGGGAACTAAAGATAAAAAAGGGAAATTAATTACACGGTGGAAAGGAAGAAATGTCCAAGGGCACCGCTAATGGCTGTGGCCACCCTGTCCTCTATAGAGACATGTCATTTTCTCATCTTAAACACCCTTAAGAATACCGCTTCCATTGTAGGGCCTCAATCCATTGTAGATCTTTCCTTATTTTCTCTAAAAAATTACTTTTTTTTTTGCTTTCCAAATTACAAGTCGCTTAGTAGGACAAATCATTAACCCTTTCCCTACATCTTATCTTTGCCTACCACTTGCAGTATCCTGTGGATCATTCGTTCGTACAAAGCTCTCAGGGTATAAATTAAGAGCGCTAATTCCACACCAAAGAGAGAGTTTATCATGTGTATGTCGTTGGTTAATTAGTTTATGGCAATAGCAAGCATGAGCAACGATAACGTTGACTTCGACGAGGACGACAACAGCAGCAGCGGCAGTGGCGGCAAGGATGAGCACGAACAAGACATAGTGATGCCTGGATTTCGATTCCATCCGACCGAGGAAGAGCTTGTGGAATTCTACCTTCGCCGTAAGGTAGAGGGCAAGCGCTTCAATGTGGAACTCATTACTTTTCTTGATCTATATCGCTATGACCCTTGGGAGCTTCCTGGTATATATAGATATATGCGTGTGTGTGTATATATTTCCTCTCTAGTATTTACTTATCATACTTCATACATTCATTTATATCGATCCAATTACAACAATCAATCACATGATTCTTGTTTTGTTGGGCGTCAGCCATGGCAGCGATTGGGGAGAAGGAATGGTTCTTCTACGTGCCTAGAGACCGGAAGTATCGAAACGGTGATAGACCAAATCGTGTTACGACTTCAGGCTACTGGAAGGCAACTGGAGCCGACCGGTTGATTCGAGGAGAGAATTATCGATCCATCGGCCTAAAGAAAACCCTAGTCTTCTACTCCGGAAAAGCTCCCAAAGGCATCCGAAGCAGTTGGATTATGAACGAGTATCGATTGCCTCACCACGAAACAGACCGCTACCAAAAGGTATCCCATATTTCTTCACCTTTGATTTCCATGAAATCCTAATTTTTCTTCACCTTCTTCCACTTCTTTAGCTCTCCTAAAACTTATCAATGTGATAACAACTTCAATTTTGGGTCCCAAAGTTCCAGTTCCAGTCTAAATCCTTAAGTTTCAGGCTGAAATATCGCTTTGTCGCGTGTACAAGAGAGCCGGCGTTGAAGATCATCCGTCACTCCCACGGTATCTTCAAACGAGAGGACAGCACACAGAAAAGAAACATCCCCAGGTCCAAGATACGGCTCAACAAGCCATGGAAAGGTTTCAAGGCTTTTTAGGAGGACAATCACAACAAATAGAGATCGGAAAGATAATGAAGACCGATGGGAGCAGTAGTAGTTCTGATGCTACACCAACTCTCGGACTTTCCAAGCAGGCTGCGTACCGTCCAATGGCTCCCGTAAGAACAACAACACTTGGGTTACCATCTGGAATAGTGGAAGAGGATGGGCTGCCCTTAACTAACCAGTCTAAACAAGGCTTCACTTCATTACTCCCCAACTCCACGACTCTCTTTCCAACAATGGGTTCATCGTCGGTTTCATCGAATGTCGTCGACGATCTTCAAAGGCTAGTAAGCTACCAAATGAATCAGCTGCAATACTACAATACTTATCATCATCATCAACAGCAACAACAACAATCCGAGTTTCCGATATTTACTCTACAATCACAGGCTCAGACTCAGGCTCAGGAACAGCAGCTTTCACTCAGCATGCTACCCGCCTCACTTCCACCAACGACCTTCTCGGATCGGTTGTGGGAGTGGAGTCCAATCCCAGAACCAAATAAGGAGTACAATAATCCTTTCAAGTAATAGATATGTATTTTATCTCTCTACTGATCATATCATTTGTGTCTCTAGTCCTTAATTTCTCTGCTTGTATTTCCACCATCTCACTGGCTAGAATTTGATCAAATACAACTGTACTGAATACTTGGTTCTCAATTAGGGTTTTTTGGGTCCTTTTTAGGATAGTGCTGACTCCAACTTAAGGAAGGAGCATATATTTCTATCACTTGGTGGTCATACATCTTGAAGATAAAATTATGTACCCAGAATTTAGAACATGCCACTGAATCATGTTAATGTATTCTTAAGGTCAACTCTAGATCTCTTTAATCTTGAAAACAATGGAAAGACATCGGCACTATTGGAGACGTTTATCGCGATTGCGACAATAACCAATTCTATTAGAGGTATTACAGTTGTGAAATAACAATTTTGGACTACACCTTTACCGCTATACATCAGCTACTATTCTCTAACTATTCTGATAAGAGACCACTATTTATTTAAATCCGTGATCAACGGAGACGAGTGGTCTGGTGTAGTAGTTTGCAGTAAGCGAGGTTATAGGGCATAGCTGTATTATAATGTAGGCAGTGTTGATCTTTTATTGCTGCAAATGAAAAGTCAGGAAAACCCGCATGTGCACACTTTGTGGTGGTGGGCGTGCTTCTATGGCTGCGCGGTGGCCTTTTGGCGTTTCAGTTTTAGGGTTAAAACTAGAGAGGTCCATGGGATGCGGGCATCCGTTCCCTCCTATCACTCTTATCACTTAATACTTCATTGCTAGCCCATCAATGTACATAAGTTCATATTGACCTTTCAAAATTAAATAAACTGTTAATTGAATTATCGGTTGATTTGGTAAAATAAGATGCTAAATTTTTCAATAATTATCAATTTTTTTAATAGTATACGATGATTATAATATAATATTTATTTATAATATTATTTAGGTATTGACAATGTATACACATCATGCAAACGTAGATGTTTGAACCCAGAACTTCAAAGAAGAACCTACTCCCTTAATCACTAAGGGCCCGAATTCGAAACAATTGACAAATAAATAAGATACCAAATATGATAAAAATAAATAAAGAGACGACTGATTACATTTTTTATTAGTTTGAGGTGATTATAAGATAATATTTGTTCGAAAATACTCTCAATCGTTTGACAATGAACGTTCAAACACCCATTTAAACGATGTGCTCAAACCTAGAACCTCTAAGAATAAATAACAACTATCATTTAGCCACCGAAGTCGTTTGGTTCGTACAAACCACTACATTTCTTTTACCAACGGACAATAAACATATATAGTTGATTACGTACGTGTGGCAACATCATTCTCGTTTCACTTTTCAGCACCAAAATAGAATCACAATTAGCTTTGGTGATATCCTGTTAAACTAGTTCGTAACAAGAAATTAAAATGAAGTTGATAATCCACCCGATAACAATAACTCATCCACCCGAAATTCGACCCGATAACAATAACTCATCCACCCGAAATCTGACCCGACCCAACCCGCATAATATATGCCATCCACCCAATCCGAACCTAACCTGACTTTTTGAAATAAAATCTAAACTCGACCAGATCCGAAATAATAAAAAAATTATTCAATAAAAACAATGATTTAATTGAAAAAAAAATAATATATAGAGGGGTATTATTGTAATTATTCTTAAATATATAAGGTAAATTTTTTTTTAAAAAAAAATCGAGTCTGGTCGGATATTTTTCACCTTAAATCTAAATCCGACCCGAACACCACTTTTAAAAAACCTGACCGAAACTTAATTTTTAAAAAAAACCTACTCGATCGGATCAGAATCCGTCGAATTCGAGTCCCATGCCCATTCTAAGTAAGTTGTAATTTGAGATCTGCTCGTCACTAAATCTACAATCTCGTTTTTCATTCAAAATGTATTTTTTACACAAACTATAATTTTTCTCCCCTAAATATTTATCTTATTCATATTCTTCTGAATATTACAATAATAACGATATTAATTATAGTTTTCATGTATTAAAGAGATAATTTTAACTCAAGCACGTTTATTATAGAGTAATTGAAAATTTATTTATTACATGTGCTAACGAGTAACCTACCCGTGATGAATAGAAAATATATAGTAATACTATGAATGACCCATTATCGAATACTAGTAATAATATAAAAAAAGAATATTCTCTTGTGCTTCTAGACATTTCGAGCTTCACATATTCTTGTAGGGGATCAATTCCGTAGAAGATGGGATCAGTAAATGGAAATTCACTGAAACTTAATTTTTGTGATATCGTTAATATTGTACCAAAAGTATTTTTAGAGTATATTGAATCAATACAACTATCCTTCTTCTGACATAGCAAGGTAATTTCAAACAGTGTATCGACATGAAGCGATAGATAATTTTTTCTTCTTCTTGCTTGTCGATGTATAATCACGTATCATACAATAGAAAATTCCTGAAATTCTTAGAATATTATGTCTCAACTCTTAAGAAGTTTATAACGGCAAAATTTTTTAAATTTTGATTTTAATTATTTTAATTTTATAATTAATATATTTAAAATTACTTAATTCATAAATTTTAAAATATATTTTTATAACTTTGTATCAATAATATAATAAGTAATTTTTTTAAAAATGACTATTAAAATTTAAAATGTAACAAATTTATTAAAGAGAAAATAACCTCAGTGACCAAAAATACCTTATAATATACGATTTTAACCAACTTTTTTTGGATTTGCCAAAATGACCAACTAAATCGCAATGCGATCGATAATTCGCAACGCGATCTCCGGTATCGCAAATCAGTTTCCAGATTCGCAACACGGTTCTAACTATCGCATTGCGATTTCCCAAATTCGCATTGCGATTTTCCTAATTCGCAATGCGAATACGTAAATCGCATTGCGATTGCGATTTACGTAATCGCATTGCAATTTACGTAATCGCAACGAGATTCTGACTATCGCAATACTGAATTTCAAATTCGCAACCCGATTTCTGAATTCGCAACAGGTTTTAATTTCGCAACACAAATGTTTTGGGTATATAAATACGCAGTAGCAGTAACTCATAACCTAAATCCCTAAATCGCAACTCATTCCATCTCCATCTATCACTCTCTCCGGCGACATCCGTTCCTATATCCAACGACATCCTTCCCCATCCGGCAACAGGTTTTAGTTTCGCAGCTCGTTTGTTTAGTAAATTAATTTACAATAATGAAATCATCTAATGTTGATCATGTTTGGATAGATTCGTGTTTTGGAGGGTCATGGGAGAATGTTCATGGTGTTTTACAATATATGCCTTTACCCATGAATCTTCAACAAAATTTGTCATTAAAAAAGTTAACTTATGAAACTCTAATGTTACGTGTTGCAAATAAATGTAATTTAGAGCCCCTAAGTGGATTTAGGCTATCTTATCAGAGAAATGGTAAAGTTTATTTGTTAACCGATAATGAAGATGTTGAACGATTCATTGCTTACATTAGTGTTTCAAGTGATGATGTTACATTGTATGTTGTTGAACTTAGAAGTAGTGAAGTTGGGTCAGTAGCGGGTAGTAATCAACTAAGTTTTTCAACCCAGTTTATGGTGCTCAAAATTTAATGGTTCCACCACAATTTCATCACCAAGCAAATATTGTTTCACCACATTTCCAATACCAAACACAATCTCAAAACCCACAACCTTTCCCTAATCCAAATCCCAATAAACTTTCAGCACCAAATTTTGGTTTTCGTATTGACCAGTTAGACGATGATGAGCCAACAAAAAAATTGTGAGTACTAGTCAGTATTCGAAATTTGATCTTGGTCAATACCCGGACTTTGATCTTGGTCAATACTCGGATTTTGATGATTTTTCAGAAGAAGAAACAGACCCTGCGTGTAATGATTTTGATATTGGTCAATACCCGAATTTTGATGATGAAACAGCCGTTGCCGAGGAAGATGTTGTTGATGATAATGAGGAGGAAGTTACGACTGTAAATGAACATGTTGAACATCCATTCTGTAATTTATATAACACTGAAGAAGAAGAAGAAGAAGAAATCCCCAAAGAAAAGTCCCCAAAGAAAATGCCACGGGAGTATAACTGGAATATGCCAGAATTACTTCAGATACCGGAAGAAGAGTTGGTAAAGATAGCAGTTGATTGTCACACAAAAATTATTCGTATCAAGAAAGATGATTGTTTTGATACAAAGGAAGACTTGAAGATAGCTTTGTATACGAAATGTGTGGAAGATGGCTATCAACTAAAAGTTAAAAAATCAAGCAAAGATCGTTTCGAAACAAGGTGTATGATTGACAAAAACTGTATGTGGCGTATGATTGCAAAGAGGATAAAAGATTACGAAATGTTTCAAGTTAGGACTTTTATTGATAACATACATGTTCAAGAACCCAAGTTTTTCCTCACCATAGACAGGCAAACAAAAAGGTGTTGGGTGGTTTTCTGGCTGAGTTAATGTTTCTGAATGGTAGGGTATATCGGGGACATGAAATTATGACTGACACGAATGCTCGGTTCAAGATTAGTATCTCATATTCTCAAGCTTGGAGAGCCAAATGTTATGCCTTGGAATTGTTGAGGGGGTCGCCAGAAGCATCGTTTGCCCAACTGTCGGCTTATTGTCACAATTTAAAGCTGAAAAATCCTGGGTAGGTAACTCATATCAAAACAGATAGAGATGGACACTTTGAGTTGCTGTTTATCCCCATTGGTGCTGCGGTTAGTAAATCAATATAATTTTGTTGACTCATTTTTGTTAGTTACATGCATTTCACATTTAAATGATTATATTTCTTGTGTATATGATTTTGTAGATTCGTTCGTTTATTAATTGCATGCGCTCAGTTATTATAGTTGACGGAGCACATTTAAAAGGTCGATACCTTGGAGTAAACTTATTAGCAGTAACCATGGATGCTAACAATGGGATACTGCCAATAGTTTACGGGGTTGGAAAATCTGAAACCTCTGATTCATGGACATGGTTTATGGGGCATCTTAGGGATTACATAGGTCCTATTAGCAATCTGACAGTCATATCCGATAGGGCAAACTCAATTGACAACGTTGTTAGAAGGTGTTTCCTAGATGCTTTTCATGGACTTTGTGGTGTTCATTTGTATAGAAATCTAAAATCAAGGTCTGCTGGTATAAAAAATCACAAATGGACATACTGGAAGGCTGTAAAAGCTT